CCAAACAGGGAACCCAAGAATATGGTAGAAACATGAAAGGAATATAACTACTAGGGTCTACTTTTATCATATGCCACGATTTTCTTGGGGTCCCATGTTTGGGGTCCCTGCTTGAGTCCCTTGATAAGCGCCTGCTTAACGGACTTGTTGGCCCTCAGCGAGCGCAAAGCACCCACCTTGCCATAAGTTGGGCTGAGTTGAGGGTTCACCCTCATTGTATAGGGTCAGGGTCCTGTGCTTGGGTGGAGTTTTGTGTGGGTCTTGGAAGGAGTTTTGCTTTGCTTTTGGGCCGTATACAAAAAGAGACCAATCATGATGATAGAAATGCCAATGGGTGTTACCGAACAGATTCCGCTTGATGACTGCAAACAAGCATCGGTTCTCCTAGTGCGTCATTGGGTCCCCCCCTGACTAGCCATACTTAGCCCTATGTATATCTAAATACTCTTAATGAAAAGGCTGACTTGGGGTGGCCGTATAGAGGGTAGTGATGCAGGAAACACGTAGAGGACGCTTTGGATTCGGGCATGGTGGAGTACGTCAGCGAAGCTGGGTTTGAGTAGCATGAAGTATGCTTCTTCTCACTTGTGGTCACTGGGGAACGAAGGAACTGGAAAGAACATGGAATCTAATCATTGTAGTAGTTCCCATTTTCTTCTCCATTATCCTTGATATTACCTCAATATGTATATATATATATACTACCCCAGTAAAAAATATATATACATATATATATAAATATGTATATACTACACTCTTGGGCATGATGCAGGGATTCATTCCTCGATTTCCTATTATCCGCCTGCGGGTTCTTGTGTCCAAAGCCGCATACATATAAACCTATCATATGGTAGTTTCCCTTATATTTTCCATTATCCCAATATGACCCCTAATATAATATACTCCCCTGTCCTTTTGATGCAGCTCGCTCTCGATCAAGACTCCCTGATCCAATTTGGCCTTGCCAACTTTGCTTCTATTTTGGAGGGGGATAATGGAAAAGAAAATGGAAACCCTAGGTCCCCTTAAAGGGATATGTAGGGTTATAATGGGGTTATCTTGGGATAATGGAAAATCAAATGGAAGCTACTGTATTATTGGGGTTAGATTATTATATTGGGATAATGGAAAAGAAAATGGAAGCTACTAGGTAATGTCGGGGTATATTGGGGGCTATATTGGGGTAATTAGCTTCTAGGGGATTCTGTGGAGTCTACATTATATTATATTACCAGTACATGGTGTTATATTATATTATACTATATTATATTATATTAGGCTTAGTTTTCAGCGTCTTGGCTGCCTTTTGAACTATGCAAGCCAAACATGATTTCTCCGACTCCACGCCTCAAAACCCGCTTTCGCTCACCCCGATCTTTTCCGAAACAAGAACCAGCACCATCACTGAATTTCCATCAATCCGTCAGGTTCTGGGCATGCCTCCGTGTCCACGAGACTTCACATCTTGAAGTCTGTCACACCCCAGACACATGGATGTTCCCAATGCTGTAGCGGGACGCCCCTCTAGAAGGAAAGGTTTCCTGCAGTACCAAGGATACGGGCCACCCTATTTACCCCAATATAACCCCCAATATACCCCAATGTTACATAGTAGTTTCCATGTTCTTTTCCATTATCCACCCAAAAAACCGATAACTTTAAATTGAAGAGACATTTGCAAGTTGAATCCTGGCTAAGCTGTGTGTTGCGATGGCCCTTTCAACTATTCAGAGCAGCTGGATGACTGGGCTGTTGATGCAGCTCTAGCACCAAATTGATCTGGCCTCCCCTCGTGACGTGGAACCCCTAAACGCTACAGTAGACCCTTAACCCCTAAAGCCCTACGCCCTGAACGCCTGCTCAAGTTTGCAGCCTAACGCCTATGCCCCTTACCCCTCAATCCCAGTGCAATGAAGGCCGCGAAGGCCTGGACCTTGCGACGGGCATCCGCCTCCCTTTCCAATCGCTGCTCCTGGGCTTGGCAATGCGTGGTAAGTAATACCTTCCCGTTGCCTTTGCTCAGCCCAATGTTGCGCTGGGTGCTTAGTACAAGGGGGAAGTTCATGCTGGGCGCAAGAGACTATTGCTAGCGGTGATCGCAGCGGTAGTGGTAGTAACAGTCAAAGAAAGAATAGCAGGAGTGAAGGAGTGGGCGCGCAAGTAGCAGGAGCCGTTTGCAATGAAGGCGCGCTGCCCAGGGTAATTCCAGGTCTGTCTGAAGTGGTGGGCCAAGTTCGCAAGAGGCAGTCTGTGTGATATTACAACTTATACCTTCTGCAAAGGATTCCACGGTGGGAAGGGCTTGCTGAATATGACTTTTTGCTCGTCCTGGCAAATAAAACCCCCTGCCGCTCCCGAAACAAAAACAGCAGACCAGTGTGGCACGGTTGCGCCCTTTCGGGGTTGCTGGAATGAGGAACAAGTCGGAACAAGCTTTGGGGAGGAAGCATGTGGTTTTACAGGGTATCAAACATACAGTCTATACATGTATATATATATATACACATAAATATCTAGATGCCACACGCAGGTGCGGCATTCATCCCGCTCACATGCCGCTCAGACTTTGCAGGCGCCGCGAGGAGAGCTGCTTTGTATCCGGTTACCCTGCTCGATGAGTGGCAACGCCCACACCCTGAATCCTGTACCCCGCTGTCCTTAGAAAGGATCCCTATAATCCTATTATTGTAATCCGTATACATCCTAAGCTTTAAGCGTTGCAAGCCTGCAGTCCAAGATTCCATCTCGATCAGCCTTTCCGTGAGGTGCTGAACCTGGTTCTATCAAGACTAAAGGCTCATACTCCTGCTGGTGATGAGAAGGCATTGCGGCACAATCTGATTCTGCTTTCAACATTTCTTAACAATAGCAGTCAATACCATGGCAGAAGAAGAGGGCAGTACCGAGGTGTGATCCTGATCTTTGCTAGTCGCCATCGTGAAGACAACTCATCTATTAGCGGCCTTTATCAAGCACTGCATCATCTACGCAGAAAAAATCCTTGCACAGCCCAATTGCCTAAGCTTCCCTAAGGTGACCGCCTGCTGGGCTTCGATCTCTCTGTCGTCCATGGCCTATAGGAAGTCCATGAAGCAAGCAGCTGCACTCGAGCATCGAGGTATTATAATTCAGACGAATGTGATAAAAGAACGACAAAGCATCGGCCTTCTCAAGCTCCTTCTTCAGAGCCTCCGAATCCTCCTTGTCCTTGGCGGCCAGACGGCTTTCCAGAACGCGGTTCACCTCCTCCACGATCTTCTTCTCCAGATCGAAGGCAGGCTCAATTTTCTCCCTCCGCGCTGAAGATGGCAAAGAGCCCTCTGAGTTGCCTCGCTTCACGTGAGTCTGTGGGGTTCCTGTGGGCTCGAGCTCCGTGGTTCTCCCGCTCTCACGCCTGTAGCGCTGCATTGGCGACATCAACGGTATGTGGCAACTGGTTGGCTGGGAGCCTGCGTCAGCGGCCGACATGCTTCCCGCACCTTGTAGAGGGGCCGCCTGTGAGTCGACTTGCCACTCCAGCCTGCGGCCCATTCCGGGTCTGGCGGTCATGGCCTCGTCGAACGCAACTGGCGGCTGCTGCTGCTGCTGCTGCTGCGGAATTGGCTTCTCAAAGTAATTTACATTTTGAGGGGGCATCTGGGCTGGCACCTGAGTCACAGGCACTTGTGCTTGAGGCTGTCCCGCATGTCTTTGATGAATCGGAGACAAGGTAGCGCGAGGGTCAGGGCGAATCTCGGCGCACAAGGCATTGGTGTATGTCATGCGTGGCGGTGGGCTTTGTGGTCTCATGGGGACTGCGGTCTTCACGGCCTCAACAATAGGTTTGTAGCTCTGTGGGCGGGCCGCTTGTTTGAGCCATGGCTGCCAGCTCTGCGGATCCATGCGGCGGTCGGGCGACACAGCGCTCACCGACCTCACGGCTGGGTTGCGCTGATACATTGCCCCTACTTGTGGCCGCCAAGCTAGCCTTGGCACACCTGCAACTGCTTACTTGAGCATGACAGCACGGGCGGCGGTAGGCCAGTGTCCTTGCAGGTCCTGTTGTGCACAGCTGCATGCAGCTTCAAAGTCAAGCTTGACTGCTCAGTCTGACAAGCCTTGCAGAGCACAAACAAGGGACATGCAAGCAAAGTTGCCTCCTGGCAGTAGAGGGTAGGCCTCAGAATCACATCGGCCTTCTGCTTTGATGCTCTTTTTCTATGTGCCTTTTCGGACCATTCAAGAAGTTGAAAGGCGCCACGTGGGCATAGACTGGTCGCCACCATTGCTTGAATCTCCACATTTTGAGCATTACTCAGCACGTCTTGGTTGCTTTTGGGGTTCCAGGCCACTCGCCCAACACAATGAAAACAACAGCCTCTTCCTTTAAATTCAAAATTTACATACTTGGCGTTCCAAGATTACAGTCATCTACAGTCTATACAGTTACATCCCCAGCCCAAAGGCACGTGTAACAGGGAAGCTTGAGCCATTAATGCCCTAAACTCTACAAGCACCAACATCACTAAGTCGAAGCCCTGAGACACCTAAATCTGAGCCCTACAAGCTATGGAAACCAGCAAGTCTTGCCTAAATCCAGAAAGCTAGTTTCCACAAATAAGGACACCCAGATATAGACCCTAAAATGCTACGTCCCTTGTTATAGGGACCCCGAAAAGCGGACCCCGAATTTTGGGAAACCCAAACCCTATAAACCCCTATATTACTCCAGTTTCCATTTCATCTTCCATTTTCTTTTCCATGTGAATTTCCACTATTGGGAGTAGTTCCTCTACTTTTGGGAAACTCTAATCCCTAAACCCTATATAACCCTATATGCCCCTATATACCCCCATATAATCCTATATAACGCTAGATACCCCTCTATAACCCTATCTAAAACTGGAAAACACAAAATCCTTCAAGTCGCTGCGTAGCTCTGAGCTCAGAACTCCTGGTCGCGCCTGGCTCCACCTGAAAAGATGACAAGGTTTGGGATGCAATCGTGGTGGTGCTTCAAGGGCAGGAGTGGGGGAGTGTAGGGTTTTAGGACATTGTGCTTTAGATGAAGCATCTTCAAGATTGTGCACGTAGGTCTTTGGTGGGGCGGGAAGATTTGGAAGATGAGGCGTTTGCGATTTTCCCCAGATCTCTAGATATGGATGATGACTGGGTCGCAAGTACGTAAGGGACTCACTCATGGCTGTCATAGCTGTTGGGGAACGACAGCTACAGTCTGAGCCCCCGAGTATAGGGCAGGCTTCAAAGGTTCTTGACGTAGTGCTGCCCTCCCCCAAACTAACGTGGAACCCCATATAGGCTCCTTTCTTTTGAAAGGGCTGCCAACCTCAGCAACAGGAAAGGGCGAGGGCTTGCCGGTTCAGATGCTCTGGGGTCCTTCTCAGGGAGAAGGGTTTAGGGGGCTTGTAACTTCCGAGGGTTTGAAGTAGGGTGTCCGGCTGTGGGCAGCAAAAGTTTGGCCAGGCACAGCTCACAAGAATCGCCGTTTGGGGATTGCAGTCAGGGTTTAGACGTGTGATATGGTGGGATGTCAAGCTCATGGTCCCTGTTTGGTTCCTTGTTATAACACGGCCCCTAAGATTCAGAGTGCCTCAGCAAGGAAGCACAATGTTCACGACCTATCATCTCCCGCCACTTTGACAGCAGTCAGGGTTTCGAGGCAAACTTTAACCTGCCGTCAAGTACGGGCACACGTGTGGTACATCCAACATGGGACACCCATGTGTGCTATGGTCTAAACTCTTACAGTAGTATGCCTCTTAAGCCCTATAATATTCTCCTATATCCCTATATGACCCCTTTAAGGAGTCGAGACGGTGGCTCATGTGGTAAAGACCTCCGCACTGGACCCATGCAACTAGGAGTCAGGTGTTGAGTTGGGCTTGCAGTGAGGGCTACGCGAAATGTAAGCTAGTCGCCTCTAACTGTAGCAGTGTAGCACTTCATGAGGATTAGCTCTTGGTACGTGCATCCGTGCAAAGAGCCTCCGTAAACCTCCTCAGACGGTCGCACAATTGAGGATTTGAAGAGCTTGAAGCGTTTGAAACAGCACAATCTGAACTGCTGACTGGGAGGAGGAAGCCTCTCATGTGATGCCGGGCGAGAATGGCACGAACATTCTGGATATAAAGCTCGCGAACAAACTACTACCCTCACCTCCCCTTTGAAACCCCACAAGGCCAGTCACAAAACTCGAATCAGTGCAAGCACTTTGAAAAATATCACGATCTCATAGACACACGGTATACAAACCTTGCCATCTTATGTTGCAATGCTGAAGCGCCTCGGGTAGCTGGCCGTGGGTTCCGGATGAAATCACGCAATCTTTAAATGGACTGCAACATCTCCCAATGGCCCGAAACCCCGAACGGACCACGAGAATATGAACGACTGCAGATGAGGCCGTCAAGATGCGAGCCTCAAAGCAATGCTTTCTTTGATCCTGAAGTGTCAGACCTGCAATCCCGCTATGATGTGGGCATATTCCAAAAAATCCTGAAGCTAGCGTCCCTTTTGAATAATCCACTCAAACCACTGAACTGCAGGTAATCCTCGGCCTATAGTTTCCATTTCCTTTTCCATGTGGGTTTTCCATGACCCACCTATGGAAGCTATAGTCTAAACTCCTAGTGTCCCCCTTAATGACTCCTGTAAGGCTCCCCTATATTCTCCTTAAGGAATTTAGACTACAGCTCCTATAGTTCACATCATTCCCCTTGGGTGCCTCCGCTGCTTGAAATAGCAGCCTGGGCATGGTGAAGCGCCTTGCAGAGCCCATCAGGAGGATTCTCACAAGTATGGATCCCTTTCAAAGGCTTCATGGTTTGTTTAAGGGATAAAGGGCTCAATCCTGGTGGAAGTAGGCCCCTCTGCGGCTTTAGAGTTTAGGGGTGTCTTATTGCTGGGTTCCTTCTGTGTGAGGAGTTGGGGTTTGTTGAGTACAGAATGGGCCGCTAGATCTTGTTCCGCGTTCCAGGCACGCAGCATTGGGAGGACATGCACACACCGCGGAGAAGACATGCGAGCAATGTCTTGCCATCTTTTTACAAGCCCTGCAGTGCACAGATGAGGCCTTGCAACAAAAGCCCGCAACTTAGAAGTAATGAATATGCAAAATGCAAGTTTGACAGCCTACCCAGCGTGGGAAGCAATTGTTATCCTTGCCCACTTTTTGTCCCGGGTGCCTCCTTCACATCTTTGGGCACCAGGCGCTGCAACCTGAATCGCGTCTGCCGTCAACCCTTGTCAAATGGGTTCATGTCAAAGCCTGTCAAGCCAAGGAGATATAAGCCGTTGTATAGCGCTATGCGCCGGATGAACCCGCTCCCAACAACCACGAGCTTCCAACCTCCCTGAAAGCCGAACACTTCTGTCTGCGGCCGTCATGGGGAATAGCAGCTACGTTCGGAGTAGCTACAGCCCCTAAAATGTAGCCTTCAGGACAGGAAAAAGAAGCCCACGAGATCCCACATGTGAGACGAGCAACTTTCGGTATCTCGGCACCTGACGCTACCTTCGAAACCGAGGCCCGAGCTTCTTGAACATGGGACAGAACGCGGCAACTACGAATTGGAAGTGCAGTTAGGCGCTGTGAGAGTCTTGCAGTTCTCCTCAGGTTCAGCCCCTTTGGATTGTGCGGCAAGCCCTCGGATAGTGTAGAGAATAGCGCAAGGGCCTGAAGACACAGAATAGAGATCTAGGCTATGTTGCTACTTTACAGTACATCTACAAGGTTACAGGGACAATGAATGGAAAATCTTCCTAACTATCTAAGCTTCCATTATTGGAGCAGCATGCATGAGGGCTTATCTTAGCTTTGGCAAGCAGAATGGCTGCGGCAGGATGGCAGGTTTGACGCCGCTGGCATCTTGCAATCTAGGGCCCTGGGCCTAGGGTGTGCAATGGCCTGCTATTGGGTGTTGGGCTCAAAGTCTTTGATCACCATGCCAGCCTATAGGCAACCTTGCAGCTGACTCGCTTGAAGTTCAAGTTGCTGCTATCCATGTTGGGGTCTTACTCTGCCAGAAAGTTTCTCTACACCTCCACAGTCTGTATGATAAAACATGGCGCAAGTGTGCTATCACATGCATTTTTCGTTGGCCTTGTCTCTGCGCCACGAGAAGGCATCGCCCCAACACCTTCTTCACCAAATGACAAGGCTAATCGTTGTCACTGCTGCTGCCTCTGCTACACCTTTCAATACAGCTGAAATCAAGATGATTTGATCTTTTTTGGCGTTTATGTCTACCTTTATATCACTTCCCACGCATGGAGGCTTAGATTCTCTAAGCAGCGGCGGAAAACTACCGACAAATGATTTCAGCCCTATCCCAAAGCAGCTGGCTCTGTGAAACAGGGCAACACTGTACAAAGCACCGTGGCGGCACAGGGTGGGTGCCCAAATCCTGCTATTTGGAGGCCTTGAAGTAGAGGTCGGATCAACTTCTTACAGGGCATCGGATCCAGTAGTTTGAGCACATACCCAGCCACGTCAGTGTGCATGTTTGGCCATCTCGGACACACAAGCTTGAGCACATATGAGCAATAATCTTGATGATGTCTTACGCTGGCTCCTGTTGCCACGCGTGGCTTGCTGCTGTTGCCCAGGCCTGTGCCATAGTCTTCTCAATTGTCAGAATCGTCATCATCGATTACACGTGCCGGTCTTAGACGTGCCTTTGCGTTCGCGGAGCAGGCTTTTGTCATGCTCCCAGGAGAGCCTTTGCCTATCCCCCAGGCCCAGCACGCCAACTGAATCACGTGTAGTGTGGGAAGCTACAGTAAGCAGCAAGCTGTCCATCAAGGATCAAAGAAACACGCAGCCTAGTTCAAGTTAATGAATTATTGAACACAACATGACCTGAAATAATTCGAAGCCATGCGTGGAGAGGGCCTGGCCTGGAAGGCCCTCTGCCCGGACGCTGACGCTGGTCTCGGAGCAGCGGAGGCTTGACTGCCCCTCCTGCACCATTCCCATGGCCGTTTCTGCTTGTGGCTGTGTGCTGTTTGTTCAGGACAAGTCTGAACTTCATCTACAGGCGTTAGGTGTTGAAGCTCTGTGACTCTGCGATTAAGACAAGTTGGTGCACACCAATCTGTGCAACGGGGGACGGGCTTCTGGAGTAGGTCAGCCCGCGATTCATCCAGCTTTTGGGGTCACAAAATGGTCTCACTCAACAGTCTCTGGAAAGCGACTACACGAACAACTTGCAGAAGACATAACTCCGGGCAGGAAAATACGCTTACTTTCTCATTTATAGCACGCTGGCCCTGTCCTAGCATCCGCTCAAACGTTTACAGGTTTTGACTGAGGCACTTGCTGCGATCCCTTTCAACTCCCGGATTCCTCACATGCAACATGCCAGCAGCCTGCGTCGTGGTGCCCTTTCACCAGCTGCTCCTTTCGCATCCCGGCCTGACAGCAAGAGGAATGGTGGCTGGTGTTATGGGGGGGAAGGAGAGGTCGTCCGTTTGTGGCCAACCAGGCTGAAAGTCAGCAGACAGTCTGAAGCCCGTGCGCGCAGAATGCCTTTCAACTTTGAACTGCTGGCACGTGCATTACATGCATCTTAAGGCAACGCTTTGACCAAATGGTACTGGTAGGGTACGGTGGCGCCCACAGCATCCCAAATAGCAACGATCACTTCAAACCAGAGCCCTTCACATTGTTCATGAATACCAGTTTCCATCTTATTTGCCATTATCCCAATGTCCCCAATATAACACCTATATAGCCCCAATATAACCAAAGTTTGCTGGAAGCGTCTCTCAATTATGCCGGCTTCACGCGCACCTACAGCACTTCTGCATGCTGTGAGAAGGAGCATGCTTGATGGATCCTAGTGTGCAGACACTTTAGAAGCTCATTCATGAACAAAAAAAGCCAAATCCCTTCAACCTGATAAGTAGGATGCGAAGTGAAAGTCATACGTTAGAAGCAACTAGCTTGGTCAATAAAACCAGGAAGCACTTTAGCTGAATGTCGGAAGTGCAGAAAGGTGCCACAATCCTGCACGCCCTGTTGTAAACCTAACCCAAACACACAACACATGTCATTTCCAACGCCCGATATACTTTCGCGACAGTCTTGGGGCACCCTGAAGATTGCAATTCTAAGTCCAGAACTTGCTTGAGCTTCGTAAGGCATAAAGGAATATAACCTCTATGTAATCCCAATATCCCTATGGCAACATAGTAGTTTCCAATTTCCCTTTCCATTATTCCCTAGGAACCAGTAAGTTCTAATAACCCTAAACCCTAAGCCCCTAAACCCCAGCAAGACAAGGTCGATGCAAGGCCCACTGAGGCCAGGGCCGTTAAGGCCTGACGGCTCTGCCACCTCTCGGAGGAAGGGGTTCTGGGAGGCGTGTATATGAGATGTTGACATTTTCTGCATATGTATATGTATACATTGTACGTGTATACATATGTATACGTATTCGTATGTTTGCGTGTGCTTAGCTAAAGTATGATACTAGATTCAGGAGTCCTATTTAGGAGTGCCGGTCTAAAAACATATCGGCTATGCCAGGCTTGGAGGGTATCAGTTCAGAGTTGGCCCCTATCGGTTTTACACATACGATCTCTTACCTCATGGCCAGCCTAGACGTGTGGTTGTCAACATCACGGTCCCTCTCGCGGTCCCCGTGAGAATGCGGCCCTCGCATTTCGGGTACCACAAAAGGGGACCATAATCTTGACAGTTGCTACATAAGTGTATATCTATATATGGAATTTCAAAATGTGTCAGAAGGGTGTCGTGATGAAGGCGATGAAGGTGAGGCTCTGCGAACCATCTTAGCCCGAACATCAAGGTGGGGAATGCGTTCGATCACTCGGTTCCCTGCATTTGTTGTGTAATGCTCAAGAATCTAGAATAGCTGAACTAGCTGAATAAGCAGATTCTATGGGCACACCGGATTGGGGTCCTCAAGTTCCTCAAGCAGCGGAGCGGGTGTTTAAATATCTCCCCCCAGATTTGAGCCTCCTGGCATCCTTGCCTTCACCTGCGGTAACTATACGCCCTAGGGCCCTAAACTCTACATAGTTCCACCTTGACGGCAGCTTCTCCTTGCGACCAATCCAGTCTGACCTCACATGTCTCATGTCAGGGTCTGGGCACGCACCACCTCAAACGGGTTGCCAGCACCAAAAAAATCAGGGATCTGCACAGAGTCCTGGCAGCTGATCAACGTAGCAGTTCGCATATGTAGTACCCGTGTGCGGAAAATGCCATATAAACTTGCTACCCCAGATTGCTCTTGTTTTAGATCGGACAGGCATGTTTGCCCGAGTCCCGCGCCCAGTTGACGCACCCAACCTTGAATTTGCAGGAAGTACGCGTTACAGGCTTTGACCTAGGGATGCTCCCATCCACTAGCTGACCCAACTCGGAGATGACTATACCGAAAGAGCAGCAGGTGGGGCATCAACAGCTTCAGGATGAGTGGGGGTGTGGAACTCCGTAAATATAATATTCCTCTTGATTCCCCATGCATATATTGCGTGCGCCTCAAGACCGAAGGCCATGGGTTTTGGCAACACGCTACCCAAGCAATTATCGGCTGCTCAACACTCAAAACTTCAAATCGTGCGCTGATCCACCTACGTCCCTTTCTCACTTTGTACATATTTCCTGTGATGAGTATTATTGCTGTTATTCCGAAAGTAAGATCCTTTTGGTGTCCCCCCCCCCCCCTGCATGTCTTAATCGCTGCACCCCAAGCCATTCACGCCTAAAGCTCTGAGCCTTCAGGTTCATTACCCTCAGCTGTTCATGGCCAGGATGCCCTGTTCGCATAGGGCACCGGTTTCGCATAGCGTTGCCGCTTCTCCATGACCCAAGCAAACACACCTAGGGGCTTCTGAAAGACGGGCTCGTCGGATCTTTGGGGATTCGGGATTCATACCAGCAAGGAGGGGGAGAGTATCCAATTTGTTGTTATGAGGGCCCCACTTGAGGGGTGACGCGAAATCATGGCACTCATGAACATTGAGTGGGTTTTAAACAACTGTCTTTATGCCTTGCTCTTGGGGTTACGGTTATGAAGAATTCGATGGCCTCGATTCTCGATGGCATCACGCAAAGCAGATGCCGTTCTGAAAGGGATATCGACCCTTGCCCTTGCGAATGACATGCTTACCGAAACAGCTTGCTGGGGTTGCCGGGGTGTTGGACAATACATTGCAAAACATGAGCTCTTGCTCAGAGCTCGCTTCTTCCATAAAATGCAACAGTCACCAGCTCTTACTTTGGTAAAGAGTGTACTGAAAAGGGTTTGGCATACATGCACATATATTATACCTACCTTCCTTCCTACCTACCTACACGCACTCATGCATACATACATATATACATGTGTGGTAGTCATGCCCCTGGCATATTCGACATTGGTTGGGGTCCAGGGCAGCAAGCTAGTAAACTGCTTCACAAGATTAAGAGTATGCAGCAACCAACATGCAACTTTCCCAACGGCGATCGAGATGCGGGGGTACTCCACCCAGCTGAGATCCTGCACAGGAGACCGCTGTCAAATTGTGGAACGACTACTACTGCTGATGCAACTACTCCCCCTGCTGCTGCTTAGGATTAAGAGTGCTGCCACCGCCGATGTCGCCGCTACCGCTACCGCCGCCGCCAGCACCACCACCACCGCCGCCGCCACCACCACCTGTTCACCAATACTTCTAGACAAGGCTTTTCCACGCTGGGAGCAGGGTTCTTTGACGCGTGTGCCGCAACCTCAAACATAGTACGATGGACTTACCTGTACAAGAGCTCGCAATGCAACATCTCCAGCCAGACTGCCATGAAGCGCACCCAGCTTTCTCGACAACCGAATGTGGATGATGAGTTCAAACGGCAACTGCAATGTACGTAGTGGCTAGCCAGGCCTAGCTACCTTCAATACCTCAGTAGCACTGTCTGAAAAGGCTTGACGCCCAAAGCTCTAGAAGCATACAGCCCAGCACTTCTCACGGCTGATGGACACTGACCAGTGGTCTGTTCAGCTGTGCACATAGCGGCAACCTGCCCTAGAACCCCACAAATGCTCTTGTAATCGCCAAAACGTTCCATATGACCAACAGAAACATGGTGCAGCTAGTAGAACCTGCTTAAAATTCAACCCCCATGTACTTTGCCCATAACCGAGTCAAAGGAGTACTGCAACGTACGTATTTACTTCGTGTGTAACTCGAGCAATGGCAGGCCAATTTTCAGGAGAAGTGGCGTACTCATGTACTACTTGAGCACTAATGGCAAGCCGATATTCGGAGCCATCAACCCAGTCTTAGGTATCAATCCCTAAGTCTCAATGACAGAACTGAGCAGGATCTCCTCGATGCAGTGCTTTGTCAAGTTCTCCTCTGCACCAATGAAATGGCGCCTGGCACAGGCACAGGCCAACAGCTTGCGGCCATCTTTTCCTGCAGGGTCCTGCTGCATCCGAGATCATCCTCGCACGTCACCCGCAACCATAAACTTTAAACCGCCTGCCTTCAAGTTCCCCCTGTTTCAGATACAGTGTCGCAGTGGTCGTTGTCGCAGTAGCAGGATCTTGTGGCAAGTTGGGACGTGTCTCAAGATCCTGAACGATCACTATAAAATATAAAACAGAAGATGTGAGACAACATGAATTTCAAGCTGCCATTGCTCGGATACATTTGTACGGCTTTCATGAACTTGACGAAATTCCACAGTATCGTGCTTGGTACTCATTCGGAGATGACCATTTCAACCATGGCGTACTTTGTAGGAGACGATCCAAAGTGGAAGGCGACCATCCAACACACCTTGGGTCTCGCTTTGGCTAACTCCTCACCCATGTTCCATCAAAATTGCAAGGGGTCGTAGTCTCCATTCTTATAATTGCCGAAAGGTTTCATGGGAGATTGTGTAGTCTGGCTGGGGATGCTTGACCAAGACGAACGCCCGCCGCCAACTCCTCATTCATGCTTATCCTGCTGGGAATTCTCTTGCGGCAGAGCTGGTTCAACATCATACCGCTCATGCAAACGGCTCTGTAAGTTATCTTGTAACACACGCCTTCAAATTGCTACAACCACCAACTCGCCCTGCACATCTGAGCTATAGTCTAAACTCCTAGTATCCCCCTTAATAACCCCTATAGTAGTCCCCTACATAAGCCCCTACCCAATGAGTTTAGACTTTAGCTCATCTGAAACCCCCGCTCCACCCGCCACCCCAGGAAGGAAAACAAAAAGGAGGCCTGTCATCCTCACCGTCGCTCCAGGGGACGAGCTGCCCATTTTCAATCTTCCCCACCTCAGCGGCAATCTTAGGATAATATTGGGGTTCCATTGGGGTTATACAAGAATTATATAGCGATTATATAAGGATACTGGAAAAGAAAACGGAAAATACTATAGTGTTTAGGTAGTTTAAGGTTTCCGGGGGTTAGGGCGGCTTTTATTTATTACCTGGGCCTCTTGCGGCTTTTTTTTCAATACATGGCCCCTCACGACCAAATCGCTGATCTCATTCGCCATGTTGGAACATGTACTGGGCTCTTATTGCAAAGGAAACAGCGGCCTATCTCGTTCAATCATCGGCCCCTATCTAGTTCCCTGTCTAATTCCCTGAGGGACGCTGAACCCAGATGCAAAAATGCTAACTCAAGCCTTCTACTTTCTTGTGTACATAAATGCGGCGGCTCACCTGATGAACGAGCTATGCGATGGCTACACGCCTACTTTAGCAGCTACTCACCTGGAACTGTCCTGGCGCTCTTCTCGAAACTGGGAGAGGGCTTGAAAGAAAAGATCTTTGGAATGCGCATGCTGAACAAATCACAGTCATGCGTACCACGAAGGTGCGGATGCGAAAGTCATCTGGACCACGTCTTCTGAGGATGCGGATTGCCACAATTAAGGCTCTTACTGGATTCTCATGTGATCTTGACCAGTGTTCTTGCTCCATGTCGTAAATCCTACTAGTCTGATTCCAGCTGAAGTTGAACAAGGGAGCGGGGCGGAACAGCCTACACCAATTCGATTGAGCTCACTTCAACACACCGGGCCAAAACAAAGGGAAAGGTGGAACCGCGGGTAGGGCAAGCCTCCCAAGCGTCTTGTTTCAATTGTATCCTAGCGGCTCCATGTACATCATAACATCAGCCTGAAGGAAACCTCGGGTAACCTGAACACCAAGCCTCTTGTGTCAGGAATCGAGGGCGCTGCATGGCCAAAATACCAACTTCCAAAACCAGCAACAGGGGCCTTCTCTCCCCCAAATACTGTATTACCTATCAGAGGACACCTCTCCCGCCATAAAAGGACATCAACTCTGTGGAGCTCCCTTGATCTCTTTTCCTTAGGAACTGTTCCTGTCCGGCCTTCAGGCAGTCAACAAAGGTGACCTGGCCAAGATCGCGTAATCTCTTCCCGCGATTAAACCCCAAATTGTAGTGTCCATGTTATTTCCATTATCCCGATATAACCCCAATATAACCCTAACATTACACCAATACTGTTGATGGATGAAATCTTGCACAACCTAGGGGCCCTAAACTACTGTAATTCCTAGGACTTTAAGGACTTAAGGTGGTGCAAGATTTCCTCCATCAACAGTAAAACCCCACCATTCCCCCCTAATAACCCTAACATTACACCAATAAAACCCCACCATCCCCCCCTAATATTCAATATTCCCATACACTTCAATATACCACAATGAGAGTATTTGGTATTAGGGGCGGCGGGTTGATATGAATCTTCCTGCTACAGCATGGGATAAAAAAGGTGTGTAAAATGCCAGGGGTGGAGGGTTCAGTAAAAGGTGGAGGGGAGTAGACCTCAACAACTCCTAAGATATATTCCTTTTCGCGTTCGAGTATGATAGAAATGTTGAATGGCATCCAAGAATCACAAGAAACACTACAAGCAATGTTGGGATCTAGCCGTTGACTACAACGGAGTTTCGCAGTTTCCTACATGACCCCTCATGGTGTCAAAGTGATCACTCGAATCTTACAGTAGAGGCCTGCTGCATCTTGGGGGAAAACTCCATCCTTGGTTCTGTGGCTGGGTTGGAAGCTTACCGAACCCCTTGTCTTTTGTATAACAGAAAGAGGGGACTTTCTGCTATGATCAAACTATACCTTGAAACACTTTGCTGCCTCACACTAAAACCCAAGACTGTTGTTTAGACCCAGATTCTGCTCCAGGGTGAGCCCTGTAGTAAATCCATACTAAACCAGAATATGTTCTGTATACCATAGTAGATTGTCCCCTAAACCTCAAACCCTCAACCCCCAGAATCCCAGGTTCTGTGCTTCAGGATGCCTCGCCGACCAAGTGGTTCGATTTTGACTGGGCAATGCAGACTCGGCCTGCCGGCAGCCGAGGCACCCATAAGACGGCTCAGGGTTCCGGGCGCGATGGGTTCAGAGTTTCACGGTATAGGATTTAGGGTTGGGGTTTAGGGTTGTTTTTTTGAAAGCCCCGTCGGCTCTTTTGTGCCCAGCATGTAGCTCGGGGATGCTTTGGATTGGTTCCAGCATCCTGAAAAAGATTCCTCTCTCACAGCAACCTCGAGCGGCATCTTCACTGCCTCAACATCACTGCCAACATCCTTCGCTGTCTCCATCTCGCGTCCTTCAGCCCGACCATCACCAGCTTCTTCATATCCAGGAAGAATAGGTGGTAGAGCAGGAGGTGCAAGAGGTGGATGAACAGGATCGGCACCCGCAAGCGGAAGAGGAGCGTCAGCAACCAAACAGAGGGCTTAGGGTCTATGGTATAGGATTTGGCACGCCCGTCGCTCCAAGCAGGCACGGCTCGTTCCAGAATCCCAGTGTAGGGTTCAGGGTTTAGGGTTGGGGTTGAGGGTTTAGGGTGTAGGGAATACTGGGAAAGAAAGTGGAAGCTACGACTGTATTAACAAGGCACATTTTGGGATTATATTGTGGGAGTTATATAGGGGTAATGGAAGATGAAATGGAAACTGCTATTCAGGGTTCAGTGCATTAGAGGGTTGAGGGTTCACTTCCGTTGCCCAAAAAAATAAGGTAGCGTCTTAATCATGGGCTCACACCTTAATAGGCGTGAGAATCATCCATTGAGAATCCTTAAAGAGGAGTGCATAAATGTCTCGTTTTATCCTCAAGATCGTAAACCCCTCCCCCATTTCGAGAAACTTCCACATAACCCCATAGAGCTGCAGGGCTGTAGCAGGAAGTCTCAAAATTGGGTCTGTTACAAACCTTAAGGACATGTATGCATGGGCTTGGGGCTTTAAGGTTTAGCTTGTAGAGGTGTCGGTTTACGATTCAAGGCGCAGGGCCTTCACTGAGATAATTCCTGAGGAACTTCACAGATCCTGATACAGTGTGATCCAGTTTGAACACATTAATTAATAAGATTCAAAAAATTCCCGTAAAGCCCTTGCTAAGGTGATTGAGGCTTTTGAGTGTTGGAAGCTACTGACGTATGCTTTCTTGCAGAGTGAGCCTCTGAGGCCTGACTTCCTTCCACGAGTTCCTGAAAAGCAGTGGTCTGTAAAATGAGGGCCATGACAAGGACTATAACAGCTTGGGGGGCATTTAGTGGACCTGAAGTTTCTCCCGCCTTCTTCAGAATGGGAAGGCCAGACAATCCAAATTGGGGGCTTACATGGGGACTTCTCAAGATTAAGAGCCCCTGTGAGGACTCCCAGGCCCATAATGTCTGAAGGGACTCACCTCAGTTAACTCAGCCATCTGCTAAAGGATGAGCAAAACTGAGCCAGATGGGGCTATATCATTAGACTAGACCAAAAACCCAAATCTGAGTCTTGGACAATCTGGATGGATTCCCAACACATGGGAAGCACGGCCAATAAATGTATCAACCCTACCAAGCCCGCAGAGCATTTGCGAATACGCTGACATAGGACCGCCACAAAAAAAACGACTCATTTTCTCTGTCCCTGAGCTACCTTAGCGGTTTGTTCTTTTCTTGTTTGGTCTTATGGTGGTAAATAAAATAGCCAACTACAATACCGAGAAGTACTACATTCGCACAAAAATCACTACAAGAACATTTTATATGGGACAGTAAGCAAGAGCTTACTGTCCCATATAAAATCTTCTTCCTTCAGTACTCGGCCGGCTATCGTGGTGGCCATGGCCAGCCAAGAACATGCTCCTTTAGGGTTTAGGGTTTAGGGTTTAGGGTTTAAAGTTGAACCAATTACTTCGCTGCTTCTCATTGTAGCATGGCTTTACGCCCGCAAGCTGCTCAAAAATAGCATATCATGGTGGTTTCCCTGTTCCTTTCCATTATCCCTCTATACCCTATATAACCCCCATAGACCCTAGACTGATAATCCGTTTTTTTGGGGGAGTTCCTCCATGTTCAGTGCACGTTAGTTGCACGCAGGTAGGAGGAACGCCTTTTCCTGCTAATTCCCATGCAAGCTGGCCATGCTTGAAGGAAGGGTTCAAGGTTGAAGGATTGTTACAAGAGAATGGAGGAATGCAAGGGTCCCTACAGTAGCCCCTATGCATTCACTTTCTAATTATTATGGTCCATTTCTTGTCCAAACCTCATTCCCTACTGACAAGCAGCCATACAACCCTTCCCAGTTGCCTCCTAAACTCTTAACCGTCAAACCCTAAACCGAAGGCCTCTCTTTTTTAAGGCAGAGCCACGGATTTCCCATACCTGGCATCAGGGAATTCTAGGGACTCACAATGGCCCCACTACCTGGTGTTAAATAGGTAATATCTAGAGATTTAAGGATATCATTACAAATCACGGAGAACCAAATTGAAAAGAACATGGCACATGGAGTGGAAACTGGGATTATTTGGTGGATTATATGGCTTATGCTCGCGATCAAGAAACGATATGGCCTCAATAGTAGGGTGTACGAGGAAGTGCGGGTCCCAAGAGTTCCTAGGATTGAACGCTCGAAGGCATCCTGTTCATGACTGCATTGACTTCGGTGCCACAGGCGGGATTGCTTGACTATGCAGGGTCACATGCCGACACTGTAGGAGCTCTATAGCGCAGTGGATTGACAGTCTGAAGGCAGTGGGCTTGCATGCTGTTAGGATGTGTTACAAGCTTCATTGTCCTACTTGCTACCCTCACTGTTAGCCTGGAGAGAGAGAGCTAGCCACTAGCTCTCTAAACACCTCCAGGAAGGGGTGGTCTGAAAGTTCGTGTGAGGGTTGGGACCACATGCCCTTTTAGAGGTTCCATGTTGCTTTGGAGAAGAGTAGGGTGTAGGGTCTTTAGGGCTTGGTGAGTTGCTGTACGAGACACAAGCCCGTTCTACTCAAACAGGGGGGTGCGACACGAGCGTGGTTACATGGTGTTGCAGGCAATCCCCTGCCACATCAAACCCTAAATCGTACTGGGCAGCCAAGATTGACGACAGCAGGCCGAGACATGGCTGTGGGATCTTGAGCTTGAATATGTGAAGGGTTGCCCATATGCAGGGAATGCGAGAACCTTCTTGCGACAGAAGTTCAGGAGGCCGTCATCGGCGGAAAGACCGCCATGAAGGCAATGACACCAAACTTTCAGAGCAAGTAGGTAGTTTCATTAAGGCATATGCCCTAGGTGAATCTATGAACCCTGATATGCTTTGTAAGGCATGTTCCTTCATGACAGGTCCTGGGCTGATTGAGAACCCTATAAACCACGATGCCATCCAAATTCAATGTGTGTGTGTGTTTTTTTACAGCTTTATCTCAAGGCCCACCATTTACAGGCAACCATTCAAGATATTGACTATTGCGGCTGATAGCTCCCCTCAGCCCTGTACATGTGGCTTCCCTAACCCGAAACCCAAACCCTAGACCGCGACCCTCAGCACCAACGGGCCAAGCCTTTGTACTGTCAAAGATCTTGTCGCACCAGTGTTTCTTGATGCGAAGGGCGGCGGCCTCAGCTGCAAGAGGGAAACCCAAACAAGACTGTGTGTAGTAGGGGTATACAGGCTATGTATATGGGATAAATAGGGGATAGAGGGGGGATATGGAGGTGATACAGGGGTTACATAGGGGATGTATATGGGATATGTAGGGGATATAGGGCTTATAGAGAGAACATGGGATACGTAAGGGATATAGGGTTATATAGGGTTATATAGGGGATCTATATGGGACCTGTATGGGACCTGTAGGGGATACATACAAGGGATATGTAGGGTCAAGGGGATTTTTGCAAGGCTACTACTGCTTAGAGGGAACATGAGTGGCAAGGGAAGGATCCTATTCTTTGGAGGTACACAATGAGATGCCAATGCTACAATTTTCTTAGTTTCTGGGGAACGTGTGATTGACTGACAGACATGTATGGACCCAAACGAATGGCGAGATTGCGGGTCTAGAAGCTCTCGCAATGCAGCAACCTCTTTGTGCAAATGGCACTTCCCAGTGCAAACACACGCATCATCCATCTTCAAGTCCTACAGCCTATATGACAATTTTCAAGCTCTACCATTGAGGATGAGCCCGTTCCAAGCAGCTGACTGGCCGATGTTTGGCGCCGATTCGCACCTGCCATGAATGAATCTTGAAACAGCCCTTCTGCAATCCTTAACAAGGAACCCCATAATCGCCGTGTAATCCCTTTACACTGCTGTTTAAATCCATCTAGCATGGCCAGAATTTTCCGCATTCCTAGGGCTTGGAGCCATGGGAGGATTGATGGATTATTGACTTGGGGCAAGAAACCTCCCTGCGGTATCAGTCCGCATCACGAGAAATCACCATCATATCCCCTGACTAAGGACTATCGGCCCATATCTACCCCATGTTTTTTCATATCATCTTGCACGTGCTCCCTTGATGCTGTTCTCAATACAGTTGTCAGGCCAGCTAGCTGAACCCCCCTCCTTTAGTTAGGCACCCTCAACTAGACCATCGCTAGAATCCTCGAATCCCTCCAAGATCATCCCCACAGTTCTGCGATTGCTCCCTCCGTCCCAAGCCTTAAACGTGAAGGCATCCCTCCCGTCTGAAACTCACGCTTTTTAGGATCTGCCTCCACACAACAAGCATGCCAAGCCCTGCTGCACCAAAGGAGAACCCCTGCTTCCAGCATAGCCTCCAAGGGAGCCACGGACTGCCGTCTTGACGTCCTGGCAAGTCTTCGAAATAAAAAGACCTAAGAAATCTGTCCATACAATAAAAGGCTTAGGGTTTTTGACATCCATGGGCTGTATATGTAGTTGATGTAATAGGGGGCCATTCATGGGCTGTATTAGTACGTATCTTTGTCCTGGTGTACATTTGGATTCGTTTTTAGAAACAAATGTGTGTGTGTGCCTATACGTGCACATGAGCATGTGCTGTGGGCATGCACGTAGATATGGTTCGTGCTGTATGCAAACTTGCCTACATACGTACGTGAATGTATGTTAGAAACAATGTCGGCATGTGTATTTACCTGCATATTTACACGTAGAAGAACATGGGCAAGTCCCTATAGACTCTCATCTGTACGTTTACATCTAGCCGCATTTATCCACCTAGTGTTTGCCGCCGTCCTCCAACAGATAAACAACAGGGGAGATCGTTAGTGTAGCGTGGGCTCCAGCAAACATGGCTTCTACCTACTAACTGACGTTTTGTTGTTTCGAGACTTGTTCTGAATAGTAGGCCAGTGTCTGAATAGTCACGGAATCACAGACAGATTCTATTATGGCTTTGTCGGATTCCCCATGGCACGGATCCTGTATGAAAGCACGGGTCCGAGGAGTTACGGTGCTCTCTATGGGTTAGGTTGCGAGCCTCCGGCCTTGGGTTACGGAAGCCATGGCTGACTTCAAGAGTGACTGATATTGCTGTGATTACTATTATGATGAGTATTACTATTATTGAGATTATTACCATTATTCCTATTATGCCCATTATTAGTAGTACTACTGTTTACCAGTCCCAGGGGGTGCAGCGGATGTCAAGTTGAGGAAGGACTGCCAAGGATCCGCATTGCAAAGCCCCTGTTTGGATATGGAGGTTCGAAAAATTATGGTACCTTTTTGGGGGATTTGTATAATATATGTTGGTTCATACTTGGTGCCCAGTTTTGGGCAATTACATGAAATTGCCATATGAGGATCGGTCAAAACTCCTTACATCCGGTAATGGACGCCAGTATGGGGGGTGTCGCTTCTTAATGTTCCCATCGCTTTACAGGGTTTGGAAGCAATCCGCGCAAGATAGCACAAGATTGAAGATTTAGGGTGTCGCTTC